TCATGTTCATTGTAAGGATCCTCTTTTCAGAAACTTATTATGGAAAATTGTCGGCATAGTGAATATCATATTGAACGCTGCTGGTCCGTGGCATCCTAGCACACTGCATTTGGCCTGACAGAGTCACCTATCCTTCCTTCTGTCCATTCATCAATCTATCTTTTTTTTTTTTTTAATTTTTTTTTGACAGGCAGAGTGGATAGTGAGAGAGAGACAGAGAGAAAAGTCTTCCTTTTGCCGTTGGTTCACCCTCCAATGGCCGCCACAGCCGGCGTGCTGCAGCCGGGGCATCGCGCTGATCCGAAGGCAGAAGCCAGGTGCTTCTCCTGGTCTCCCATGGGGTGCAGGGCCCAAGCACTTGGGCCATCCTCCACTGCACTCCCTGGCCACAGCAGAGAGCTGGCCTGGAAGAGGAGCAACTGGGACAGAATCCGGCACCCTGACCAGGACTAGAACCCGGTGTGCCAGCACTGCAAGGCAGAGGATTAGCTTAGTAAGCTGCGGCGCCAGCCAATCTTATTTTTAAACACATTGTAAAATGAGTTCAGACACCAGTATACTCCTCTCCCCGCCCAGTATTTCAGTATGAATAACATTACCAGAAATTCAGTATTTACATATTATTTACAGATTTTTTTCCTTCTGAGTTTTCACACAATGAAATAAATAAATATTAAGTTGATATGCATTTAGTTCTGAAGTGTGTGAAGTGTGACCCAAAACATTTCAAAATACAGACTACTCTACCACAGAAATATAATACAGCCATCTATATAATTTGAAATTTTCTAGTAGCCACATTAAAAGAGCAAAGGGAAACTGCTAAAATTTATTTTACTCATATACCAGTTAAGCCAGTTATCTAAATAAGAACTTAATAAGTAATCAAAGTAAAATATTACTAATGAGATATTTTATACTTTTTCGTTCCTACGAAGTCTTCACAACCTGGACCTACCAGTCACATTTCGAGCGCTGGGAAGGCCCACGTGGCCAGTGGTCCTGACTGAGAAAATGCAGAACATGTCCATTCCCCAGGAAGCTGCCTCGTGCCCCCTCCAGTCTCCTTATCCATCCCCATAGAGGCAACCATTGTTCTGTTGTTTTTTTTTTTTTCCCCCATCATTGTTTAGTTTTACCTTAGCGTTTCATACAAATAGAATTACACAGTATGTTGTCTTTTGGCCTGGCTTTTTTCCACTCAGCATAATGTTTCTGAGATTCATTCATGCTGTTGCCTCTATCAGTTTATTGCTTTTTATTGCTGAGTAATGATTTTTTTGTGGTGGGAATATGCCACAGTTATTATTGATGGACAACTGCATGTTCCCAGTTTATTATTCTAAGTAAAATGGCTATAATCATCCTTTACAGAGGTGTTTTTGTGACCATGTTTCCTGTGAGGTAAATACTTAAAAATTGCTGTTATAAGGTATTTGCTTGATTAATTTGATAAGAAACTTCTGGACGCTTTTCCAAAGAGACTACCATTTTATGTAGTGACCAATAGTGTCTAAGAGCTCTGGTTCTTCCACACATACAATGGTAAGTCCGTTAGATTTTAACCATTCCGGGGCCAGACGTGGTGGTGCAGCATGCTAAGCCGCTGCTTGGAATGCACACATCCCATGCTGCAGTGCTGGATCAGGGCCTGGCTTCTGTTTCTGACGCAGCTCCCCGCCAACGTGCTGGAAAGTAGGGCATGATGACTCAAGCCCTTGGATTGCCACCTACATGAGCGGACTAGCTCGATGGAGTTCTTGGCTCCTGGCTTTGGCCTGGCTCAGCCCCAAATGTTGAAGCTATCAGCAGATGGGAGCTCTCTTCCTCTCTCGCTCTTGCTCTCACTCTCACTGTTACTATCCGTGTGTCACTCTGCCTTTCAAATAAGCAAATAAATCTTTGAAAAAAAGTTTCAACTATTCTGATTGGCATGTGGTGGCATCTTCTTGTGATATTAGTTAGCATTTCTCTAATGTCTCATAATGTTAAATTTTTTCTCATGTGCTTATTGACCATTTCTATTTCTTTTGTAAATTGTCCAAGTCTTCCGGTCTTTTAAAATGGAGTTGTCTTTTTATTAATGAGTTCTTTATGTATCCTATCTGTCCTTTGTCTGTCCTTTGTCAGACCTCACATAGTTTACCAATTTCTCTTTAATTGTGGTTGGTTTGTATGAATTCTTAATGGTCTCTGGATAAGCAGCAGTTTTAGATCTTGTTAAAGTCTAATTAATCAGTTTTATATATTTGTTGCTTTTTGTTTCTGGGAAATCTCTGTTTACTCCTAATTCCAAGGCTATCTCGTTAGTTTTCTTCTGAAAGTCTCATGGTTTTAGGTACCTCTATGATCCGTGTGTCCGTGTGTGTGTGTGTGTGTGTGTGTACCATGTGAGAGGATAACCTTGCCTTTTTGCCATATAGATATCCAGAGGTTCTAATATCAGCTGTTGAAAGGAGCTGCCTTTCCCCACTGGGTTACTATTTTTATGAATCTGTTCTGTGTCACTGAAGTACTTGTTTTTATTCTGTTGTGCTGTCTTAATAGCTGTGGCTCTATAGTAAGTTTTTTTTTTTATTTACTTATTTATTTGAAAGGCAGAGTTACAGAGAGGAGAGGCAGAGGAAAGAGAGAGAGGCAGAGGCAGAGAGGTAGAGAGAGAGAGAGAGAGAGAGAGAGAGAGAGAGAGAGAATCTTCTATCTGCCGGCTCACTTCCCAAATGGCTGAAATGGCCAGGGCTGGGCTGTGCCAAAACCAGGAGCCAGGAGCTTCACCTGGGTCTCCCATGTGGGTTCAGGAGCTCAAGCACTTGGGTCATCCTCCACTAATTTCCCAGGTGCATTAGCAGGAAGCTGGATTGGAAGTGAAGCAGCCAGGACTTGAACTGGCACCCCTATGGGATGCTGATGCTGTCACTGCAGACAGCAGCTTAACCCGCTGCACCACAGTGTCAACACCTAGAGTAAGTCTTGGAATCATTAATTCATTCATTCTAAGTTACACAGCATTGCTTTTTTTTTTTTTTTTTGACAGGCAGAGTGGACAGTGAGAGAGAGACAAAGATCTTCCTTTTGCTGTTGGTTCACCCTCCAATGGCCACCGCGGCCGGCGCGCTGCGGCCTGCGCACCGCGCTGATCCGATGGCAGGAGCCAGGTGCTTCTCCTGGTCTCCCATGGGGTGCAGGGCCCAAGGACCTGGGCCATCCTCCACTGCACTCCCTGGCCACAGCAGAGAGCTGGCCTGGAAGAGGGGCAACCGGGACAGAATCCGGCGCCCCGACCAGGACTAGAACTCGGTGTGCCGGTGCCACAAGGCGGAGGATCAGCCTATTGAGCCGCGGTGCCAGCTAACAACATTGCTTTTTTTTTAAAAAATGACTTTAGATATTATAGGTGAATCGTATTTCCATATAAATTTTATTAGTCTGTCAATTTCTGCCCAAACCACCCTCCTGACGTTATGAGGGGGATGGTCTTGAATATATAGAACTATTTGTAAAGAACTGATATTTTGCTAATTTTTAAATCCATCTCTTCCAGTTCAGAGCATGGTATAATCTACATATTTATTGAGCTGTTCTTTAATTTTTATGAAACTATTTTACAGTTTCAAGTATTTTGTTAAATGTTCTCATAAATACTTTATGAATTCTTAATAATTTACTTTCCAGGGGCCAGCGCTGTGGCATAGTGGCTAAAGACAACATTCCCTATGGGCACTGGTTCGAGACCCAGCTGCTCCACTTCCGATCCAGCGCTCTACTATGGCTTGGGAAAGCAGCAGCAGATGCCCCAAGTCCTTGGACCCCTGCACCCTCATGGGAAGGCCTGGAAGAAGCTCTTGGCTCTTGGCTTTGGATCGGTGCAGCTCCTGTAGTTGTGGCCAAGTGGATGGAAGACCTCTCTCTCTCTCTCTCTCTCTCTGCTTCTCTTTCTCTCTCTGTGTAACTCTTTCAAATAAATAAATCAATCTTAAAAAATTTCTTTCCAATTATTTGCATCTAACATACAAATAAAATTGATTTTTATATAATATTATATGCCATGACCCTATTACCTTATTTAGTTATTGGTTGATAATTGAAGATTCCTTAGGTTTTTCTACATAAATAAAGTAAAATAAACATCATTTGTGACTAGACCTTTTCTTCTTTTCTAATGTATACCTTTATTTGTATTTTTTGCCTTTTGCACAAAATATAAAGCAAATATTGAACTTTTAAAAGTAATTAATGGGGGCCCGTGCAGTGGCACAGCAGGTTAAGCTGCAAGCCTGCAGCACTGACAGCCCATATGGAAGCCCATTTGAGTCCTGGCTTCGCCACTTCCTATCAAGCTCCCTGCTAATGTGCCTAGGGAAGCAGTAGAAGATGGCCCAAGTCCCTGGGCTTCTGCCACCTATATGGGAGACCTGAAAGAAGCTCCTGGCTTCTGGCTTCAGCCTGGTGCAGCCCTGGTCAGTGAGGCCATCTGCAGAGTGAACCAGTGAGAGGATGGGAGTGAATCAGTGGACGGAAGATATCTCCCTCTCTATCCTCCCTGTGACTCTATCTTCCAAATAAATTTTAAAAAAATTTTTAAAAAAGATCATGAATGAATAATGAATATTGTCAAAATTAATTTCTGTATTTACTGAAAAGGTCTTTTTTTTTTAAACAGCAAACACTAAAAACCTGCCCAGAGAAAGCATTAACTCAAACAAATGTAGTAAATAGTTGTTTATTTAACCTAGCCTCTAGTCACAACCACCCACCATTACCATAGTGTTAAATGGCTTTGGACAAGACCATTATCTGCTGATAGGTGACATAGATTGGCTCAGATAAAAACATTCTTGTGGGTGGGAGAGAGGGTAGGGGCATTGGGGTCACTATGTTCCTAAATCTGTATATATGAACTACATGAAATTTGTGTAACTTAATTAAAAAAACTGCTGTTTTTTCACCAACACAACTGTGCCCTCTGATTTAGTCAAATATAAGAATTCTCATGACAAAACTTTCAGGTTTTTTACTTCTTTATTTTGATGGATAAAATGCAACATACAGATCCTACATAAACAAAGAAAGCTGATGGGACAAAAGCATTAATATTAATTCCTGAAACAGGAGAAAACATAAAACATTGGCATTTTCCAGTGATATATATGATTTTTCAATCAAATCACATGGTTTTAGAAAATAGTTGAAAATTTCTGGTGTGTGTGTGTGTATGTAAAACTGATGACAATCCTTGGAAGAAACACTTTAATTCCATGTCATATAATTTTTACTAAGTGACATATTTATGGGAAAGTTGAAAAATGCCTGTCAGAGGAACTATTTCATTCCAATAATATATGGTCTTTTCAGGCAAGTAATACTTATGTGAAAAATAGTTGAATATTCTAGCTAGAAGGAAGAGACATTTTAATCTCATGTTACTTTTCAGAGGAGTGAAATATGTGGACAGCAGTTGAAAATGCCTCAAAGAAAAGCTGAATATTAATTCGTACTCTTGAAAACCTGCATTGCCACATAGTCAGAAACACAAGACAACGGCTAAGGGATACAGATTCTCTCAGAGTATTCCTCAGATCACAGTTTTGGTTTTAAAGCTTTTGCTAAAAATATTTTACATCATTAAAGGTACGTCATTAGATGTACACTGAAAGCTAACTGCAAGGATTTAAATAAGACTTAAGACTCAGGGACAGATTGTAACAAAAATTGTTAAAGTCCATTAATTTTTTTTCCCAAGAAAGGCAAGTGAGGTAGTTTATACGGTATATACAATGTGAAGAATTGATATTCCAGTTTGTTCAAAGATCATTGACTCCAAGGAGCATATCCCCAAGTGCCCTATTTAGCAAAAGAATCCTCTTTTGCAAAACGGAGGAAAAAATGAGCCAGCTCTATGAATTTTTCTAAGTGTTCCTCTAATGTTAACCTTCTCTAATACCTCCCTGGAGGGTACAATTTTCCTAATTGGATACCAAGAAAACTTGGTGTGGATTGAAGGCGAGAAGGTACGGAGAATAGCAACAAGAAGCTGGGTATGTGACCTTTCATTGGAAATTTGCTGTTTATTTTCACAGACTGATTACTGAAATTAAAACAAACAAACAAACAAAAAACCTCTTGATAAGGCAACAGTTCTTTCAATATCTAGGTGAAGGGCACTTTTGAATTTTAATAGCAGAGGTTTGTTTATTATAAAATTAGTAAAAACCTCTTTAACCATGCATAGTCTTTTTACCAAAATTCTTCTCTAACCAATTAGTGAGTGCTAAGACTGAGGATAAAGATTATGTCCAATGGTACTGACACAAGTTGGTTCTCCATAGGATAGCTATTTGAAAGTTGTCATAGCCCTTGAATAAAATGAAGTGACTCATTTTAAATTACAGATTCATCTAAGTCTTTGCCACAAAAAAGTGGCTAAGAAATTGAGACTTAGTGTATTTTACCTGTCATCTCTCAGCCACTTATTGAAAATTGATGAAAAGTTGGAGTAAACCTTAAAAACTTTTAGAATTTATGTTTAGGTTCTAATGTGTTTCCTGTCCAAAGAAACGAAAATTCTGAAATAGAAAAATAAATGAACAGATATGTGAATTTTGTGTAAAACGCAGCAGAATTTAACTACTATGATGAGCCCATATAGAATGAGAAAAATCAGTCGTATTTTGTATATACATAGCTATCTAAGGCAGCTATTTGAAGAATTTCTTCCATGTATGGACATAAGTTACTGTCATCCTATGTCTTAATATTTGGCAACTACATAGAGTAAAAGGTTTACTCCTGTGGTTTAAAAACATTTTTTTTCAGTCTATGGAAATTCATAATGTAAACGCACCTGCCATCAATTAGTCCACTGAACACTGGTGAAATGCAGGAACCAATACAAACCTATGGAACACACATTTACTTTCAAACAGGTTTTCAGGCAAAGGAACTAAAAATTCCCAAATAAATCAAATGAATGGATCTTTGTGTTTTCTATAATGTTCTTTTATATCCTAAACACTAGAAATGCAAGTACCTGCATGTCTTGTATAGACACCAAGGCATAATGTGGCATATAAAATATTTGTTCTATATGTTGGCTTAAAATATCATCACACATTTTGAGACCGGTAAGGAGAGTAAAAAGCGTTTTCTTTGTTTATGAGCAACTACGTCAAAATGAACTGCAGGAGAGGCATTCGGGTCTTGCATCTCATTAATACTGCGGTAAACTCAACAAAGTCTCAATCTGTGCACTCCAAGCCAAAGTACAAGTCTGAGATATGTGAGGTCTCTGTGCCCGCTTCTGGCTGACTAGAAGGATTGCATTTGCAGCCTCAAGGTGAAGGGCAGAGCTGCCCAATCCCTCCACACAGCTTTGATTTGCCCTAATTTGGAAACGTGGGGACTGTGGATTCCGGCCAACTGCAGGCTTAGAAAATGACTCCATGGTATCTCGTTAGAGAGACAGTTTTCAGCTCATCAAACATGCACCTGACTTGAACGCCTGATCTTAATCCCCAGCGCTGATCACGTCTATGATTAATGAACAAAAGCACAATCTGCTTTTGTAGTTTATCAGACACGGATATGGTATTTTTCAGTACTTTCAGAAAAGAGCAATTCTGTTTTTAAATCGGGGCTTTAGGAATTACTATCTACAGTTGTAAAATAGAAAAAGCGATATGTTTGTTCAGCAAAGGAAACTGCCTGGCAGGTGGAGAGATGCATTCACTGAGCACCATCACCATGAGGCGAAAACAGGCTGTGTGACAGCTGACTACAGAGAAAGTTCTGGAAGCCGAAGACCCCCTTTGTCAAAGTATGCTTCACTATGGGGACCTGTGTTCACAAGAGAGTAAGCTTTAAACATATCAACTTCAACAGTTACTGATAGGGAAATGTTCATTTGCACCAGAACGCTATAGCCTTAATACAGTATGATGTATGCAACAATACAGTTTTTTTTTTTTTTTAAACGGAAGTCCTTCCTCCGATGCAGGAGCAAGTCAGAGCATAAATATTGTATGTTGCACGTTAGAGAAATGGATTCCCTTTGCAAAGTAGATCTGGATTATTTTGTAAGGCAGAAAGTAAGGCTATTTCTGGCATTGTTGTTCAAAATGGTCAACACGTGCAGAAAACATAAGTATAAAAAAAAGGTCTCTTTCTCCTTGTGTTTGGTAGCATTGGCTACGTGAAGAACTGTTGCTTATCCCCTGGTGTAAGGCCAAGTTCATTTCGGCTGAGAAGTCAAAGTACCAGAAATGATTGCAGTCCCGTATTTCACATTGGCCTGTCTTCTGGAAGGATCACATCCTCTCGCTTTGCCTTTTAATCCAGAAGCACGGTGAGAAAACTTGCTCTCGCATGGTGAGCCAGCTCCTCTTCCACCGTTCTGACAGTGCTGCAGACACCAGCACTCAGGACCAAGAAACATGGAGAGGGTTAGAGAAACAAGTGTGTCAAAAGTAGTCTTGTTTTTTTCCCCACCAAAGATAGGATCTTCTTGGCATGTAATACAGGATAGCAGCCACCTTGTGGACAATTCAAAGACTTGGTTGGGGCTTAATTACCCATTCTGCTTGAGGATTTTCATGATATACATCCAATATATATGCATCTGGGTCCAAGCAATGCTGTCCTAAAAGGAAAGGAACAGAGCGTTCGTAAGAGTGAGTGCACACTTGTGTCTCTGTCATGACTTTTATCATGCGTGCTCATGCCTATGTGTCAGCAGGTTTCAAATAAGGCCAACGAGGTCCTCTCAGCCGTCAGTAAGCACACACATTCTGAAGCTTCTTGATAAAGCCTCCCACCCTCCATCCTGTCTCCTGCCTGCCTGCCTTCCATTCCTTCCTTCCTTCCTTTCTTTTCCCTTTCCCTTTCGCTTCTGTCCCTCTCTTCTCCCTCTCGTTCTTCTCTTGTCATTGTCTCTGTCTCTTGTCAAGTACTTCAAACATATCTCCTGTAAAACTGCGGATGCACCAAATATGGACAACCTTTTCCCCTGCTTCTCCACATCAAGTAGAAAAACAGGATGCCAGCTACCGTGGGTATGAACTGATCATGCTTATACTGATACATGCCCTGGAATGCTTTTAAAGATAGTAATTTAACCAGGTCTAGAGAAGACCAAAGTCAAGTTTGGTTTGGAAATGGCCACTTTGCTTCTTCACTATAGAAGTAATGCCCAAAGGTCAAAGATCTGGAAATGTAAAGATCATCCCCTGGGCAAGTACACTCGACATTCTTTTTGTATAATGCTTGTGCAACAAAACCAGGAGATTGGCTTGTTTGCTTCATGCATGTAGCGAATGTCTACTGAGTGTTGCTATGTGCCAGGTACTGTCCTGGGGTGGGGGCTGCAGCAATGTATGGGCCTATCACAAACACCTGCCCTCAGGACCCCTCTGCAACAAATAAGCACCTAAAATATAAAGTAAGCCTGGTGGTGACAAGACTACCAGAGAAAAACCAAGCAGGGAAGGTGTGTCCCAGGAGACCTCACTGAGAGGGTGATGCACCAGCAAAGCCCCAGAAAGGTGACAGAGTGAGGAATGGGGATGGCTGAAGGGAGAGTATTCCATGAAAACATCAGAGCAAATGCAACCCCCTCCCCCTCCCCGCGCCCCAGGCCGAAGATGCTGGTGACTGAAGTGCAAGCCTGGTGTCTGCTGGGAACTATGGGATGCAAATGTGAGAGGCATCAGCCTCCAGGAGCATTTAGAGCAACAAGACGAGTGAGCTCACCAAGGAGGCTGAGTGGAGGAGAGAAGTCCCAAGGATTGCATCTGCAGCTCTCCAAGGTGGAAAGGTTGAGAGATCAAGAAATAAAAGGCAAACGAGACTTGATGAAGCAGTCAGTGAGATGGGAGGAAAGACACTAGCTCAGGTCATTCTCGAAATCAGGTGATACGAATGCTTGGTTTATTTTATTTGAAAGGCACAGTGGGGGGGTGGGGAATCTTTCATCTTTCGGCTCACTTTCCGAATGGTTGCAACGTCTGGGAGCTGGACCAGGCCGAAGCCAGGAGCCTGGAACTCGATCCGGGTCTCCCATGTAAGTTGCAGGGGCCCACGCCCCTGGGCCATGTCCTGCTGCTTTCTCTAGTGCATTAGCAGGGAGCTGGATTGGAAGCAGAACAGCCAGGACTCTAACCAGTGCTCTAATATGGGATGCTGGCACAGCAGGCAGCAGATTAATCCACTGCAACACAATGCTGGCCACAAGAAGGGAAAGATCACGCCAGGCAGTCACAAACACAGAAGGAACGCTCTGGTGACCCCAACAAGAGCGATTCTGGTGAAGTGTGGAGGGGTACGGCCTGACTGGTTTCAAGAGAGAACAGGACAAGAAACTGGAATGGGGACAGCTGATCGAAGGAGTCTGCAGTGAAGTGGACAGGGAAAGGCGAGTAGATCTGAATGAGGTCCAGGGAGTTGTGTCAAGATGGGAGAAATGGTCAACATTCTGTATGCACATGGAAAGGATGTAGTTGGGAGGGGACAGCTGATGACGCGGAGAACTGAGGCTGCACGGAGAAGGCCCCGAGGGGCTATAGAGGACTCCTGGGAGGGAGAGGCCATGGACATGCTGGCCGGAGTGGGGCTGGAGACAGTCACGGTGGAGCCAGGAGGATATGGGAGGACTCAGACAATGGGAGAAGGAATTTTTTCTTTTCTTTTTTTAATTTATTTGACAGGTAGCGTTACAGACAGTGAGAGAGAGAGACAGAGAGAAAGGTCCTCCTTCCGTTGGTTCACTCCACAAATGGCCACCACAGCTGGCGCTGTGCCGATCCAAAGCCAGGAGCCAGGAGCTTCCTCCGGGTCTCCCATGCAGGTGCAGGGCCCAAGCACTTGGACTAGAACTCAGTGCCCATAAGGGATGCCGGCGCCGCAGGCGGAGGATTAACCAAGTGAGCCGCAGCGCCGGCCCCAAAGGAATTTTCTGCTGAGCTCTCTTCCTGCAAAGCTGCCGCCGGCCCACCACCAGGCAAACAGGAAGAATGAACTAGGAAGTTAAGCAAAAAGGGTGTACTGCTTCTCAAGGTTCCCAGTTCTCCCACTCTGCGTGAATCTTCAGGGAGAAGCTTTCCAAGGGTAAGCGTCACATTTGTCTGCTGCAAATCAGCATAATGATATTCTTTTTTGGAATTCTGAGAACATTTTAAAAAACCAAGAACTTACTGATTTTGGATTTTTATCTCAGAAACGTATAGGCTGCCCTATAATTATTAGAAGTATCATTATGTTCCTAAATCTGTATATATGAAATACATCAAACTTAATATAAATAAAATTAAAGAAAAAGAAACTTCTAAAATACATCTTTATCATAATAGGAAGATACTTCTATTAGGGTAATCGGGGAATTTAACAGTAGTAGTTATTGAAGAAATGCTCACCTATATTTCCTCCGATCTCGTATAACCTTTGGTTCTGAATCTTAATACACTCTGATGGACTGTGACTAAAGAAAAAAACAGAGAGAGAGAGAATGGAATATAATATGAACTCTATCAAGACAGGAGGGATATTTGCATATCAAACAACACAATAACCAACGATTCACTCTGCTGTGAGGCAACACACCCTACCTATTATATTCCGACAACAGCGTCTTGTGTGACTGACACCAGGCCCACGGGGGACGGGACCTCAGGGAGCTCCATCAGGAGCCAGTCCCAGCCACAGCTCCAGGACCCTGCAAGGCGGTGATGGCTACTGACACATCAGGGCTGATGAAGGAGCAGCTGGGCATTTAACAGTGCCTTGTCTCGGTCACTTTACTCTCTGGTCAGAAGAAATCAGGTTTCATTTCTGTGTTTTCCGAAAAAAGGAATGAAATTGTCTCAACCCACGTCACCTTTCAGAGCTTGCCTGATACTCCGCAAATGCTTTTAAGGTTGACTTCGTTGCGAGTCTCTACGCCTGTGATAAAAAGCAAGTCAGAGCAAACAACTGCCCGAGTTAATTTTCCGCTCCACGCTAGGATAGGAGCATCTCAAAGCCCACTGCTGATCTTCCTCCCGATTCAGAAGCGACTTTGAGTCTGGTTATTTTTTTCACCTCTTTATTGTCAGCAAACAGGATGTGTGTCCCCCCTCCTTTGTCTGTTTAAAAGTGTTATTTGAGGTAATATCTGTAGATGCAAGAAAGAAACAGATTCGGACGATGTACATCCTTTACCCACTTCCCCCAACACTAACATTCCAGTGCAACGTCACAAGCAGCATGTTGCTAGACGTCTCGTCAGGATCCAGAACACTTGCATCCCCACCAGGATCTGTCCTGTTGCCCTCTTATAGCACAATCGCCTCCCTCTCCCACCCTGAGCAACCTCTACCCTATTCTACAGGTCTACACATTTGTCATTTCAGAAGTGTTATACAGGGGTGGGCATCTGGTCTAGCAGGTAAGAAGCCCGTTACGATGTGATGGTTACACAGTAATAACCTACTTAATGCCTCTGGTCATTTGTGATTTTTAAGGAACTGATCCTCTTCTTCCAAGTTTTTTGAATATATGAACCTGAAGCTGTTCATAGGTTGATATCTTTTTTTTTTTTTTTTACAGGCAGAGTGGATAGTGAGAGAGAGAGACAGAGAGAAAGGTCTTCCTTTGCCGTTGGTTCACCCTCCAATGGCCGCCGCAGCCAGAGCACTGTGGCCGGCGCACCGCGCTGATCCGATGGCAGGAGCCAGGTGCTTCTCCTGGTCTCCCATGGGGTGCAGGGCCAAGTACTCAGGCCATCCTCCACTGCACTCCCTGGCCACAGCAGAGAGCTGGCCTGGAAGAGGGGCAACCGGGACAGAATCCGGCACCCCGACCAGGACTAGAACCCGGTGTACTGGCGCCGCAAGGCGGAGGATTAGCCTATTGAGCCGCAGCGCCGGCCAAGGTTGATATCATTCTAATGGAAGTACTGGATACCCCCTGTCTTATTCTAGATATTGGTGACTTGTGTTTTCTCTTTCTGTCTTTCTAAAAGTTTATTAATTTTATGATTTTTCAAAAGCTGTAAAATTGGCTTTTTGTTTCCCCAATATTCTCTATCATTTTTCCATTTTCAATTTTATTGATTTCTGCTCATCTTTATGAGCTCCTTCTTCTGCTCGCCTTGGGTTTATTTTCCTCTTATTTTTCTACTTTCAAAAAGTGGGAACTTGATGACTGATTAAAGATCTTTCCCTCTTTTGTAACATAAGTACTTTTACCTGCAGTACAACTTTCTTATAATAAAAATTAAAATTTTCTCTCTGCATGGCTTTATTTGCATCCCTTGTAATTTGATACAGTGCAGTTTTTTTTTTTTCATTCTATGCATTTCTTAAACATTTCCCTTAAGACTTCCTTTTTGGCTGGTGCCACGGCTCACTAGGCTAATCCTCCGCCTTGCGGCGCCGGCACACCGGGTTCTAGTCCCGGTCGGGGCGCCGGATTCTGTCCCGGTTGCCCCTCTTCCAGGCCAGCTCTCTGCTGTGGCCAGGGAGGGCAGTGGAGGATGGGCCAAGTATTTGGCTCCTGCCATTGGATCAGCGCAGTGCGCCGGCAGCAGCACACCAGCCGTGGCGGCCATTGGAGGGTGAACTAACGGCAAAGGAAGACCTTTCTGTCTCTCTTTCTCACTGTCCACTCTGCCTGTCAAAAAAAAAAAAAAAAGACTTCCTTTTTGATTTATGGCTTATTTAGAAATATTTGGCATAGTTTTAGAGGGTTTGGAAATTGCATGCTGTCTTCTTTTATTGACACCTGGTTTGATCCCTTAATAGTCACGGCAGATATTCTGTATAAACACTGTATTTTAAATTTGTTGAGGTTTGTTTTATGGCCCACAGTATGGTCTATCTTTTAGGTTTCTGTCTTGAATTATCTATAGCATTTTGTTTTCTGTTGTTATTTGAGAGGAAGATATACACAGAGTGAGAGAGGGAGAGAGAGAGAGTGAGAGAGAGCAAGAGGGAGAGAGCGAGAGAGAGAGAGAAAGAGAGGTAGACAGCTCCCATTTGCTGGCTTACTCCTCAGATGCCCACATGGCTGGGGCTATGCCAGGCTGAAGATAAGAGCTGGGAACTCACTCCTACGTGGATGGAAGGAATTCTACATGGATGGCAGGGACCCAAGACCTGAGCCATCACCTGTTACCTCCCACAGTGTGTGTTCATAAAAAGCAGAGGTGGGGCTTGAACCCAGGTATTCAGATATGGGATGTGGGCACCTCTTTAATTAATTATTTAATTTTCACTTTATTTGAAGGGGGAGGGGAAGAGATCTCATATCTGCCAGTTCTCTCCCTAAAGACCTAGGCAAATCACAAAGGATATATTAAGATGTGCCAACATAAATAAGACCAGTGTCTGCTAATAATAATTGATAGAATTAAAAAGGAGAGAATGATCCAACATGGGAAGTGGGATACACAGCAGAATCATAGAATGACAAGTGCCCTAAACATCACTCTGGCCTCAGAATCAGCCCTTAAGGCATTTGGATCTGGCTAAAAAGCCCATGAATGTATCTCAGGCATGGAAAGCCAAGACAATGTGGCATATAATGATCTACATGAAAGATCTCTGTGAGTGAGATCCCAGCAGAAAGAACAGGCCATCAAAGAAGGAGGTACCTTTCTCTGAAGGGAGGAAAGAACTTCCACTTTGACTACGGCCTTGTCTAAATAAGGTCAGAGTATGTGAACTCAAGAGGCTTCCATAGCCTTGGCAGCTCATGACAAGAGCCTTGGGTGATTACTGACGTCATAAATAAGAGTATCAATTGTTAAGTCAACAACAGGAGTTACTGTGCACTTACTCCCTATGTAGGATCTCTGTCCTTAATGTGTTGTACTATGAGAATTAACGGTAAAACTAATCTTTAAACAGTACTTTATACTTTGTGTGTCTGTGTAGGTGCGAACTGTTGAAATCTTTACTCAGTATAGAGTTGATCTTCTATATACAAAGATAATTAAAAATGAATTTAATGAAGTATGGGATGGGAGAAGAGCAGGAGATGGGATGGTTTGTGGGCATGAGGGTAGTTATGGGGGGAAGAACTGCTATAATCCAAAAGTTGTTCTGTTGAAATTTATATTTATTAAATAAAAGTTTTCTATTTAAAAAATGTGCCAAATGTCCACCCTGTGACCTGGGCATCTTAAACTGATATCTTAACTGCTATGCCAAACAACCCCCCTTACAGTGTTTTTGAGTGTATTGTATTGTATGACTTTGTGGTTTCCCTGGGTATTACAACATACACATGGAACATACAGATGCTTTACACTTTGGGTGATGTGTAGAAATTTAATTTTTTTTGTTTAAAAAATAGTATTTTTATGCTGTGGTAAAAGAATATGACATAGAAATTTACCATCTTAACAGTTTTGAAGTATGCAGTTCCATGGCATGAAATACGTTCATAATTTGTTCAATCATCACTAGCATACATCTCCAGAACTCTTTCCATCTTGTAAAGCTGAAATTGTATGCCCGTTATACTACAACCCCGTTACCCCTGTCACCCCATTGCCTAGCAATCATTATTCTACTTTCTGGTCTATGATTTTGATTACTGTAACTACTTTACATAAGTGAAATCATATGAGTATTTGTCTTTTTGTAACAGGATTATTTCACTTTGCATGATATCTTCATGGTTGCTCAATGTTGTAGCACATCCTTCCTTTGAAAGGCCAAATATATCTCATATACATATACATATATCTACATCTTATATATATTTACATATATATCACATCCTGTTTATTCATCTGTCATTTTGACTGCTGTAATTAATGCTATGAACATCTGAGTACAAATATCTGGGGGAGACCCTGCTTTCAGTTCTGTTGGGAACACGGCCAGACATGGAATTGGTAGGTTACATGATGAATCTATTTTTAATTTTTGGAGAGCTGCATGCTGTTTTCCACAGCAGCTGCACCATTTTGCATTCCTCCCAACAGTGCACAGGGGTCTGGTTTCTCCACGCCCTCACCCCCACTTGCTATTTTCTGCCTTTGAAAATAGCAGACACCCTAGAGAATGTGATAATTCTCTTTATTTTTAGTTCTTTGAATTAAAAATCATGTAAGTTAAAGGAGGAATGCCACTGATGCATATAAGAATTTCATTTTTAAAATAGAGATAATCTGATATGCTAGCATAACTAAACCTCATTTCACTCTGAAATTATTTCACCATTAAAAAGTGGTAGTTCTCCCTAGAGGCTGAGGCCGGCCTCTGGAGGCCTCAGGAACACGCCTGCGGGCTGGAGCGAGCCCCCGAAACCTTCTCTGGGGGAAGCTCTGGGCCCCAGTGCCCCTGTCTGGCTTGCACATGCACAGTGGAGGCTCTCTGGCACCCGGGGGCAGGGGTGGTGGGCGGGGCCCTCTGCCACAGGCTGCTGGATTAAAACAAAACAAAACAAAACAAAAAAAAGTGGTAGTTCTCTTCATTTATAGGAGATTCG